AACAAAACCATTTCGTAAATCTGAAAGACTTTTTATCTCCATTGCTGAACGATCCAAAGGGACACCAATATCATCGCAACGAATCTCAAAGTGGATATCGACATGTATAATCAAATGCCACTCTCTGGGCAATAGACCGCTACCATGCCCACCACGAGCGCATTCTACTCGAGCCACGGCTGCTTCTACAGCCTTTCTGGGCAATGTCCCCCTAAGAGACATTTACCGAGCAGCAACATGGTCTTCAGACCATACTTTTGCTAAGCACTACGCTATCCTTCCACAACTCAAGAATGATTCAGCAGTTGCCACAGCAGTACTCTCTACCACTGCTAAACAATGACTCCGGCTCCCTCCAGCCTTACATTGAATACTGCTTTGTAGTCACCTACAGTGGAGCACCCACGCGGACACTACTCGAAGAAGAAAAGGGAGTTACTCACCTCGTGCAGTAACGAGTGTTCTTCGAGATGTGTGTCCCCGTGGGTGTTCCACGACCCTCCCTACCTCCCCTCTGCTCGGAGTCAAAATTCTCGGGCGGAGACGAGGAACTGAAAGGGAGGGGGTTGAGTCACGCTTCTCAGGAGGCGGGAAGGGCTCGAGACGCCTCCTGGGCATGCATGGCTCAACAGGGGAAACTGCTATACAAAGCTCCAATCTGCGGCTCAGGGCAACCCTTCACCTACAGTGGAGCACCCACGGGGACACACATCTCGAAGAACACTTGTTACTGCACGAGGTGAGTAACTCCCTTTTCCCTTACCTACACTACCTGTCAATAGATCAACCTATCCTTCTCCCAGCAGTGCTGAATCTCCTCACACAGCACCACGGCAGTATATGTCGCCTCAATATCAAAACCATGGAACTCACGGCGTGGTTGCTCCATGATTCCAGAATGAAGAACTCACCTGTTCAGACAGAGTCAAACAAGTTCTTCTAAACAATTGGCATCCCTCCACAAGAAGAACTTATCAAAACAAGTGGACGTGTTTTCAACAATGGTGCACGATGCACAATTTGCATCCCACTACAGTCCCCATACCTACCTTACTCGACTACCACATGGACCTTAGCGACATGGGCCTCTCCATCAGTTCCATCCGAGTCCACCTGGCAGCAATCACGGCCTTCCATGATCCAGTAGACGGCTTCTCTCTCTTCGCACATCCCATGGTGAAGCGTTTTCTCCCAGGCTTACAGAAAATGCATCCAAACCTTCGTCCCCCATTGCCACCATGGGACCTGAATTGGGTCCTTGACACACTCACCAGGCTACCCTTTGAGCCATTAGCCACTATACCACTACAATACCTGTCTATGAAGGTGGCATTCATTGTGGCAATAACATCAGCAAGAAGGGTAGGAAAAATCGCATCCTTTCACTACATTTACCAGGGTTAATGTCATACTCAGATCTCACCCCAAGTTTCTCCCTAAGGTTATTTCCGAATTCCACGTAAATGAATCCATTTACTTACCTATTTCCCTAAACCTCATGCCTACCTCAAGGAGGCTATATTACATATGCTGGATGAAAGGAGAGAAATTGCATTCTACCTTGATAGGACTAGAACAACCAGAAAATCGGACAGGCTCTTTGTTGTGTGGTCAGGACCATGCACAGGAACATCATTGTCGGCACAGCACCTATCCAACTGGATTGTAGGCTGCATGCGTACCATTTATGAACTTAGGGGCAGACAGCCACTGCAGCCCATCAGGGCTCATTCCACACATGCAATGGCTACTACAATGGCCTTCCTGAACAATATACCGTTGGTAGACATTTATAGAGCAGCCACATGGTCCTCACACCATACTTTCACATAGCACTATGCCCTACACAAGGGGCCAATACCCTCCACATTTCTAGCAGATGCAGTCCTTCCTTCTTCAACTTAGACTCCAATGCCCACCTTCATCGGGTGGGTACTGCTACAGAGTCACCTGAGTGGAGCACCCACAGGGACACCACTCACTGAAGAAGAAGAAGTTACTCACCTTGTGCAACAATAGTTCTTTGAGATGTGTGTCCCTGTGGGTGCTCCACTACCCTCCCATCCTCCTCTGTGCTTGGAGTCTACAGGGACATCGGGTAGAAAAGGAACCGAAGAGACTCACACCGCGCACTCACTTGACAGGCTCCAGGAAAGGGGTGGTGCTGAGTGCACAGGCGCAGTGTGAGGAGCACTGCTCACAAAAATCTCTGATCCCCAGCGCAGGCATGCACTGAGACCTGAGTGGAGCACCCACAGGGACACATATCTCAAGGAACTATCGTTACTGCAGAGGGTGAGTAACTTCTCTCCATCTTAAGTTCTTCTGATCAGATAACCAAAGGGTTAAAATCCTTTCTCTGCCTCATGGTCCAAGAGTTATACATATAACTCCAATCAACTGCACTAAGATAATGTGAAGTTTCCCTATGCTTCACCTAAAAAAATATTCAGTCTCTGAATGTATTTTACGTTTTTCTTTTGTTGAACTATTAACTGTCTGATTTACTTACATTGTTTTCATCTGAGCCTGCCTCCGCACTTTACAAACATGTAATGTGACAGTGTCAAGTCAGAGGGATACAAAAAAGGAATGGAAAGGATGTATATTATATCAGACTGAGAAAATCTCTCTTCCCAAGGTAACTGGCAGGGGCTAGTCCAGAACCAGTGAGAACTGGCCAGAGTCAGTCAGGGTATTTGAGCACCTAAGGCTGGTTGAGTGGGTTTTCAGAGTCAGGTAAGTGTGTCCTGATTAGAACACGTAGGGCCAGTTGAGACTGGTTGTAAAAAGAGCTTCCCTGCAGTTAGTTAGGTGCATGAGTAGCTGTGCGGATGGAGGAAGCGCTGCGAGGATGGAGGAAGCGCTGCCAGGAGTTTAGGAGAAACAAGCACCAGTGAATATTAGGACAAGCCTGAGAGAAGGACAGTGCTGGGAAAGGTACAGGGAAGTAGCCCAGTGTCTTGTTTCTGTCTTGCAGGAAATGTTGGAGACTCTCATAGGCAGCTGCTATTTCAGGGCTCTGGGCTGTAACCCAAGTAGAGGGAGGGCCCAGGTTCCCCTCAATACCCACTTCCCATTTCCACTCAAGGAAAAGACTGGCTGGGGAAAAGAAAGAGGTTTACCCCACCCTGCATTATTTGGGGATCCACTGAGACTGTGGAGTTTTTCTCCCTTTATAACTCATGTTGGCCAATGATGAGAGGAGATCAACAAACAGCAAGCCTAGGTATGGTGCCTAAATTGAGGGCTGCTGTGAGCCTCTAAGGCAAGCAAATCCGCCTGAAAGCACAGAACCCACCAAGTTCAAGTAGGAGCTTTGTCACAGTAGATAATCCATAATAACATTGCACTGATATAGGTAAGTTTCCTTATGTCCATTTTGCTGGTAGTTGACCTGAAGCACAAAAAAGTAAGTTAATCAAGATAAATGCCTTGTGTGCCTCTAAATAGATTAAGTCAAGATTTGTATCTCAGTATTAGTATCCAAGTATTTTTTTATATATATTTTTTTTAAATCAGATAATCAAGAATATTTTGAGAGACATCGCTGGCCTCCTGTGTGGTACTTAAAGGAAGAAGATCACTACCAGCGTGTTAAAAAGGAAAGGGAAAAGGAAGATATTGCACTGAATAAACATCATTCAAAACGGAAGTGGTGCTTCTGGAATTCCTCTCCTCTAGTTGCCTGAACAAAGCAAATAACACGTAAACACATCAACAGTGTAAATTTAACACTACTTTAAAAATAGTCTTATTGTTAGAAATAAGATGCAGTTCAGATTACTGGCACTGACTTTATTCCACATTTTGCATTTATCATTGTTAGGTTCAAAAGAACAAGCTCACCTATAATGAGCCTGGAATGATTCCCTTAAATTGATATGTATATTTTTGGTTATTAAGCAACATAAGCATCTACCATTATTACATTTCTTTTTATTCACGAACAAATCCAGCATTAATGTTTTAAACTCCAAATTAGGAAATATTTTTATACTGCCTTGTATATTCTGTTTAAATAAAAAGTCTGGGTATCACTTTATTTTACTGACCATGAAATAACCACATAGCAGCTTTAGAATTAGATTTTAACTATTTTTCTTATGTGAGTACAGTGAAATATAAACTTAGATCCACTCTTAATGAACAATCTTCTGTTTTAAATGACCAGTTTAAAAGTACCCTGTGACAATTATCATCTTAGTTAAAAAACAGTGTCTCTTAGGCAACCCATTTTTGTTCCTAAGACCCATGCACTCATAACATAATTAGATGGTTATTTCTTTTTTCTAAAGGAAATGGGTATAATAAGATCCAATAATTGAAAGTTATAAAGCATTTAATCTTCTTTCAGCTGAATTATAGGCAGTGTAATTACCTGTTCAACTGCAGGAACATGTATTTCTAATATTTGCCATGTACGTATATCTAGTGATTCTAATAATTCAGAGGTTTTAAAGGTCTAGATTGAAGAGGATAATTTTCAAATCATTAGAAGGGCTTATTAATTTATATCTTTATCCAGGGCAAACTCAGTATGGACCTGAATACAAAAAGCAGATATGCTGGTAATTTTGAAACAACTGTATTATGATTGTTTACTCTTTCAGGGCCCAGTTCTGCAGTCATTTCTATTTCAAGACTCCTTTTTGCTTCATCAGGGTTATGCAAACCAGAAACTAGCAGATACATTCCTCTATTGTTGATGTAGTATCTTGCAAATGGAAAATGATCTTCCTATAGGTTAATTTTAATTTTGTCAATGTCATCTTGTAGTTCTTCCCCGGTGGAATTCAAAGATAGTGCTTTAAATTAGATTATACATTCCTTCTGGAAGCAGATACTCCAAGGAAGCACAAATCAGAAGTCTCAGAGAATAAAAATTCCCATATTATTTAAATGATGAGAGGAGAAAACAAACACTCCAGTTTTTGACAGTTCCTTTCGGTTTAAGGTTTTTCTAATGACTCTGACCGGGCAGTGTTGCATTTGAAAAATATAAGGCTGGGGTGCTTTGAAAAGACAAAACTAAAACATTTCTAAAATTATACTATAGAACATATGCAGGTCTATGAAGCATCTCAGACACAGTTCTGTAATTGAGGTAGTTTTATGTTATCAGTTTTGTTAATGAATACTAATGTGAAAAGCTTTTGAATTGTATCCTTCCTGTATTAATCGACAAAGCAGTACGTCCAAATCCCAATGCTGCAAGTCAGGAAAGATTTCAGGCTGAAAGCTATCCACACTTCCACATACTCAGCATCAAGGCAGAGCTCATTCTTGTCATATTCCACTGTGGTGCTAACACCCTAGAAGCTGCTTAGTATGGGTGCTGCAGAAACTCCTGTAACAAAAACAGGTGACAGACTTCATTACCTACAAGATTTATCCCTATGAGTGATAAAGAAGGGCTATAGAGAAAGGATGGTTATAAGTGTATCCACTTTAATTCCTGGCCGGTAGTATTGAGCATTGTGAAGGAAAGAAAAAACAACACAATGAATGTCAAGACTAGGATGGAATTAACATCTGTTCATTCATAAAATGTTAACAGATCATGTTTAATAAATATTGCTACTAGGTTTTACATAACCAAAGCTCCTATATGATTGTAATTTTGCCAAACTGTAATGGATAGATTAATGAACCTGGGGGTATATGCAATAATATCCAGATGTATTAGTTATCAGCTATAATAACCAAATGGCTGGTTCATTTGGTTAATGCTGCCTATGGCCTTTAATCTTGGTGTTTATTTGGTTTTTTATTTTGCAAAAAAAAAAAGTAAAAGTGTTTAGCTAAAAAATGTCTCCTAGTTCTTTAAACACACTTTCTAAATACTGTATAAAGCACAGTATGATCTTTTTTTTCCTGGATGGTGGAAACACACTTTTTATGGTGTTTGTCTACATTATAGTAGTAAAATATATTTAACAAAAGGTGAATCTGTGATCACATGCCAAATCAAAATTTACCATTCAGAATGTTACTGGAGAGCCACTTGCATTAGGAAAAGAATATGGTAGATGCTTGTCACTTAATATAAAGCTACAAACCAACCATTTTCCTCTTACTTTGTCACACTGTTCCTAATACTCAATCATCAGGTTGTCATCCATGCAATGAGAAACAAACTCTTCATGACAAAAAACAGGAAAATGCACCAGGAGTTCTTGTAGGCATTTTGGTTAGTTGATGTTTTGTTTTTATTACGAGCTTCCTAAATTGACTCATTTTCTTTAGCTGATTCCTACTAGCATATATTTATCAACAACCAAAATCAAATTACAAGCTAATGAACTTTTAGCAACAATCCCTCCTAATATAGCTATTCAGTTTAATTTACAAAACTAGAAAGTTACATTTTTAGAGAACTGCCAAGATGATGCGTAAGAGTACTGTGTCCATGTAGCCCAGTGTCTGTGAGTCTGTAACACCGAAATGCTGGCTGTTCCCTCAGGCCACCGCGTGGGAGCAAGTGGCACAAGCAACCGTTTGGACTCTGCACTCCCCATGCAGCACAGGGAGTGCAGAGCCCAAACAGCCATTTGGGCTCCGCGGTCCCCCAAGTGAGAGGCAGGAGGACGAGGAGAAGAGAAAGAAAGAGGCAGGAGGCGGAGGAGAGCTGAGGGTGGGGGAAGCAGTAGGAGGAGGAGAGAGAGAGAGAGAGACAGAGCGAGAGACCGGAGGCTCAGGAGAGAAGACCGATGTGGAAGAGACACTCGTCTTATGATGGGCTAATTGGCTAGTGCTAAAAGAATAATGAATAGACTAAGAGTGGGAAATCTGCAGGCTGCATACAGTTTGTCAGGGTTAGCTGCTGGTGGGCCATGAGACACGTTGTTTACTTCAGCATCTGCAGGCATGCCTGCTCGTAGCTCACAGGGGCCACAGTTTGCTGTTCCCAGGCACCCACCTAGGGAGGATAGAGTCGCAGGTTCGAGTCCCGCCTCATAGCGGTAGTTGGCCGGACTGCGCATGCACAGAGGGCATCTCATGGCACTCGCGCTCTTTTGCATCACACAGTCCAGTTCCAGCCAGTTCCTCTTAACCACCTCAGGCTGCAGATGGAGTGAACTGATCTCCTCAGATCGCCTCATTCGTGAGAGAAATCAAAGTTGTTAACTGTTTAATAATTCTTTCATTATATAGTCTTCTTTTCCCGTTATCGTTCTCCTGTTCATAAGTTCAAAAAAAATAGAGAAAAATAATTTAACGGTTAGTTACTTAGCTTCAAGTTTTTATAGTTGTCTGTTAGCTCCCCGGTTGTATATAGTTCACACCTTCTCCCTATTTGCAAAAAAAAAAAAAAATCTTAAAGTTATCAAAATGCCAGGATCACAAGGTTTTAAAAAATGCGAGGCCTGCCGTGAGGCTATGCCCACCACGGATGGCCATTCGGCTTGCATACATTGCCTGGGTGAAGGTCACGTTCCACAAAAGTGCCCTCACTGCTCTAAGCTTCCAGCTAGAGCTCGGCAAGATAGGGAAATGAGGCTCTGCATGATCCTCTTCGATAAGTCTCTTCAGTATGAAGGATCAGCCTCTCCCCCTCGGTCATCGCAGCAGGCTCAAAAGCGAAAGGCCTCCCTACCAACTTCTGCCCTTCCAAGAAAGAAAAGACCATCTCCAATCCGCTCTCTGCCTGCTACTTCGCACAGCAGAAGTAATGGAGGAGGAGAAGGACCTCGGAGTCCTGGTTGATCACAGAATGACTATGAGCCGCCCTTGTGACATGGCCATGAAAAAGACTAATACAGTTTTGGGATGCATTAGGCAAGGTATTTCCAGTAGAAATAAGGAGGTGTTAGTGCCAATACAAGGCATTAGTGAGACCTTATTTGGAATACTGTGTGCAGTTCTGGTCATCTGTTTAAGAAGGATGAATTCAAACTGGAACAGTAACAGAGAAGGGCCACTATGATGATCCAAGGAATGGAAAACCGCTCACCTATATCTCAGATATTGTAGTCCTCAAATGATGGTTTGAAGACCACAAGATGAAGAGAATCCTCCAGCAAGTGATCCGTGCCCCATGCTACAGAGGAAGGCGAAAAACCTCCAGGGCCTCTGCCAATCTACCCTGGAGGAAAATTCCTTCCCGACCCCAAATATGGCGATCAGCTGAAGCCTGAGCATGCAGGCAAGACTCACCAGCCAGACACCCAGGAAAAAGGTCTCTATAGTAACTGCTATCATCCCACCATTGGCCTATTTACCACTGATAGTGAAAGGTCAATTAATTGCCAAAATCATCAAACCATCCCCTTCATAAACCTATCTAGCTTAATCTTGAAGCCAGATAGGTCTTTTGCCCCCACTACTTCCCTTGGAAGGCTTTTCCAGAACTTTACTCCTCTAATGGCTAGAAACCTTAATCTAATTTCAAGTCTAAACTTCCTACTAGCCAGTTTATATCCATTTGTTCTTGTATCCACATTGGTATTAAGCTTAAATAATTCCTCTCCCTCCCTGGTATTTATCCCTCTAATATATTTAAAGAGAGCAATCATGTCTCCCCTCAGCCTTCTTTTGGTTAATGTAAACAAGCCAAGCTCCTTGAGTCTCCTTTCATAAGTCAGGTTTTCCATTCCTCGGATCATCCTAGTGGCCCTTCTTTCTACCTGTTCCAGTTTGAATTCATCCTTCTTAAACATGGGAGACCAGAACTGTACACAGTATTCCAAATGGGGTCTCACCAATGCTTTGTATAATGGCACTAACACCTCCTTATCCCTACTGGAAATACCTCACCTAATACATCCCAAGACCGTATTAGCCTTTTTCACGGCCATGTCACAATGGCGGCTCATAGTCATCCTATAATCAAACAGGACTCCAAGGTCCTTCTCCTCCTCCATTACAACTGATGTGTCCCCAGCTTATAACTAAAATTCTTGTTATTAATCCCTAAATGCATAACCTTACACTTCTCACTATTAAATTTCATCCTATTGCTATCACTCCAATTTACAAGATCATCCAGATCTTCCTGTATGATATCCCGATCCTTTTCTGAATTGGCAATAGCTCCCAACTTTGTGTCATCTGCAAATTTTATTAGGACACTTCCACTTTTGGTGCCAAGATCAGCAATAAAAAGATTAAATAAAATTGGCCCCAAAACTGATCCCTGAGGAACTCTGCTATTAACCTTCCTCCAACCTGACAGTTCACCTTTCAGTATGACCCGCTGTAGTCTCCCTTTTAACCAGTTGCTTATCCACCTCTCAACTTTCATATTAATCCCTATCTTTTCCAATTTAACCAATAATTCCCCATGTGGTACTGTATCAAATGCCTTACTAAAGTCGAGGTAGATTAGATCCACTGCATTTCCTTTATCTAAAAAATCTGTTACTTTCTCAAAAAAGGAGATCAGGTTGGTTTAGCACGATCTACCTTTTGTAAAACCATGTTGTAATTTGTCCCAATTGCCATTAGCCTCAATGTCTCTAACTACTTTCTCCTTCAAAATTTTTTCCAAGGTCTTGCATACTACAGATGTCAAACTAACTGGCCCATAGTTACCTGGGTTGCTTTTTTTCCCTTTCTTAAAAATAGGAACTATATTAGCAATTCTCCAGTCAAATGGTACAACCCCTGAGTTTAGAGATTTATTAAAAAATGTTGCTAATGGACTTGCAGTTTCATGTGCCAGTTCCTTTAATATTCTTGGATGAAGATTATCTGGGCCCCCTGATTTACTCCCATTAAGCTGTTCAAGTTTGGCTTTTACCTCGGATATGGTAATATCTACCTCCATATCCTTAGTCCCATTTGTTATGTTATCATTATCCCTAAGCTCTTCATTAGCCTCATTAAAGACTGGAGCCTGACGCCATGCTCTCCATCCCCAACTTTTTCGCTAGCACCATCGTCTTCACCTCCACCTCAGTCACCAAGACGATCACCAGTCAGACGTTATTCGTCTCTAGAGCAGCTGCCATCTCCCTTCCTTACCCCACCGAGGGAGCAACCTGGCCACTATCAGCGTTTTTCTGCTTCTCCCTCCCCATTGCCATGGAGATCTTATTCTCCATCACCATCACCTCGCTCCCCATACTACTCTTACAGAGCAGGGTATAGCAGATCTTATCGTTATGATTGCTCCCTTTCCTGCTCTTCATATTAGTACAGTGACCGCTATGACAGATGCACTCACCACGGGATATTCATCATACTGCCACTCTTACCATTACACCTCCAGATCAGCCCCAAGGTCTGTTACGGAGTATTCATCTTCTAGACACTCGCCTGTGTTTGATCCATCCCACTCGGTCCAGGGACCAATGTCCCCACCCCCTTCCCAATCTGAGCTGGAGGAAGAACAGCCCACCACAACAGAGGTGCAACACCTGAGATATCACCTACAGACCAATCGTCATCCTCACCAGATGAAGCGGTCATTCCAGGGGTTACTTCCCTTCCCCCACCCCCCACAATCTCAGGCAATTCCAAGATCTTTTTAAAAGAGTGGCAGTATCCCAAGAGATTCAACTTACTGAGATAACATCGCCTCCTCAAGAATCTCAAGACGCCTCACACCTCCAAACTGGCCATCCCGCTGGATGAGGCCATACTAGAGGTTGCCAATGAATTATGGCTAACTCCAGCATGCGCAGTCCCAACAAACAAAAGAGCGAACAAGAAATATTTTGTGCCACCTAAAGGATCAGAGTTTTTATTCACCCATCCACACCCTAATTCATTGGCTGTGAATGCGGCGCAACAAAGAGCAAGGGCACCACAATATAGAAATCAGGCAACAGACAAGGACTCGAAAAGACTTGATTTGTTCAGGAGAAAAGTTTATACGTCATCAACGCTCCTTCAAATAGCCAATTACTTGGCACACTTATCGAATCACAACTTCGATAATTATTCTAAGCTTACAGTGCTTATGGAGTCGTTACCCTAGTCCAAGAGGCCCATCTTAAAATCAGTTGTCCAGCCACTGCTGTTGTGATGAGAAGGGCTTCATACCTTCAGTCCGGCACAGTTCCCAAAGACCTGCAAACAAAAGTAGAAGATTTACCTTTCAAAAAAGATAACTTGTTTGCAGAAAAGACTGACACGGTTCTGCATTTTAGTAAAGACTCTAGGTCAACTCTCCGAACATCGGGGGATGTACACCCCACCATATAGGAGAAGGCACTACACTCCCTTTGAAAGGCACTATGAATACACGCACACCAGACAGCAGTGGCAGCAACAACACCCAATCTTTTGACCAGTCACACCAATGTCACTGGCTTCCCAGACATCACAACCAAAACAATCCCCCTCAAAATAAACCCAACACCAAGCAGCAGGTTTGACTCCTTGGTCAGGAGCAAACAAACAATCAGATGTTACCACCCATTTGTTTCATCATTGCCTGCACCCATTTTACCACCGATTAGCCGATATCACCAGCGACAAGTGGATGTT